TGCTCAGTTGCACACATGGGCGTTCATGAATTTACTGAATGAGGTCATAAAATTACTTCCAACTTGTTTACCAATTAACGCTTAAATTTCATTTTAAAGCAGTTGTCTCCTGTAATTTCATATGCAAAATGCTGCAGATGATAGCCATAATATAAACACCATTTCACTGAACTGGCGGTCTTCGCATGATTCCCGTATTGCAAACGATCTAAATATAGAAAACTAAGTGTCACTACCGTCCGACATATGTGCACTGTAAATATATGGTCAACTTAAAGTTGAACGTAAGTTATCAGTGACACAAGAAACTCACCACTGTTGTTCAGAAATTCCACCAAAGAACAAGACAGTCTGTGCGGACACATGGACAAACATTCGATTGCATACTGGACGAAATTTTGTCTCTCGGTTTCGAAGGTCTCCAGTTCCAACATGACATCGTTGTCCGGTTTCTAAAAGAACAGTGTGTTGCCAAATTAATTTTTGATTTCCAAAAAGAAAAAATACTTTACAGATTCTGGAAAGCTACAAACCAACGGTAAACCTGAATCTAAAGTGAATCCTACACAGAAAGAAAACGACAGTTGCAAAAAGTGTAAGTTTTCCTTACTCAAAAAATAATTATATTCACCTCGGAAGCCAAAGACCAATAGAAACGTTATCATGTAAAGTGTGCGATACTAGATCATTTCAGGTTCTATCAAAGGTATTTTAGACTTGAACAAACTAACCTGCAGATTTCTGAGCATTCGAAATACAGAATCTGCTAGACGACGGCACAAATTGGCATCTGTACCTTGGATAAACGATGCCATCCAAACGGTCTGGAACGAAAATCGGAACAGCCTTAGAAAGAAGTGCAGAGTATTTTTTGAGCTATTGAATTGCTTTATTCAACTTTCGCTAAGTAGAGTGATGCGGTGCATGAAGCTATGACCACTATCCGTTTTGTAGGCGGGAGGTAACAATGTAACACTGAATTGGGGTTCCGTCTCCCAAAGGGCTTCATTTATTCAGTGGCATCGAAAATTTCCGTGATACACTCGAAAGCGCTTAGAACCTTCAGAAATGATCACAAAATCTACTAATGGTGAGCATATTAGTAAAATAAAAACCAGTTGATGCATACATCACATGCCACAGCAAACAGTATGGCCTCATTCCATCGCTGTTCTTCGGGCGAAATCTTCTGCGAATGCATCTTTCCCGGACTGAGATAAAAACCGAGAGAAAGTGCTCAGATTGAACACTTAACACATTCTTGATACCAGTATTGGGTGGAGCACCAGAGGCTTAATTGAGCGACATGCAAAGTGTTGCCGGATAATATAATCGGATAGTAGGCACAACATGCACTGCGAAAAACAAACGACTTGCTGACCAAATTCAACAGGCCAACTAGCTGCTGTGCAATGTATCAAATTGAAAGAAGTTCTATCGGATTCAGAGATGACCTTGTGCTTGAGAAGAGAGACCTTCTCTCCTAACAAGGAAATGTTAATGTTAAGTCGTAAACCTTTGGGATCTTGGGGCGTATATTCCCTGTTTTCACTGTGACACTGAGTTGAACATTTCAATCTCCCCTTTACTCCTTTATCCAAATGGACAGCCAAGAGACAGCAACCAAAACCGCCGAACAAAATTGTATGCTCAAGGTTTGTAAAAACTAAAGTGAGCAAAACCTTCTTGATATCCCCATAAAGTACTTTCCGGTTGTTCGTCATTCAAAAGCTTTTATCCATTAGGATCTCGGGATTCACGATCAGATGTATACACCCGATACGGCAAACAGGACATAAACGGACGATATTTTTTATTACACACCGGTGCATGATGGACAGTAGACGGTGGAGCCTCATAGTCAGGAAGACGTGCTGTTCAGGGACGGTAACCTGCAACCTAAGCGTCGGAACTTGGACTGGTGAATCATATAAGGCCCCGCTATGCACGCCGATGACAGTGACTAAACCACTGCGCCACCATTACTGGTATTCAAATACTTTTCCACAGTATGAACAAAAAACACTTTTACTTCGTTTTCATGCTAGTATGAAAAGATAAGTGCTCAGCAGCTTGCATCTCTAGTATCCATTTGTCAAATAATTCACCACCTATACAAAAGGGGGGTCAAATGAAGCATCATCTATTGCCCAACTGGTTGGTAACACCTTCCACGAATAATTAAATTCTAAACTAGCGTAAGACAATTGGCGTTTTTTTCCGGACTGAAGAGACACCTCATAACATTGCACTGGGATGGATTTTGGAGTGGTGAGACACACAAAGCATCTTCTTTCCTAGTTCTATGCACCAAGGTACTATTGCGATAATTAAATATCCATAATTTTAAGCACTACATCCGTTCTGAATAACATCTGAAGTGGTTCGTTGCTGTTTTATTTATCGATGCAAATTGTTTCTTTGTTTGGTAAAGTGCGAATTGCACACACACACACACACACAGGAAGTATGCGAATGAATTGACAGAAGATTACCGGATACATATGCCTGACGAGCTGCAAGAATCGTGGAACCGGTCGTGTGCTTGCAGGGAAATTTTGTCCAGTCAATAACATACTACTTATTATGAAATATTCTATAAAGAAGATGAAGTCATGTTGGTTACCGTAAGTAGCATCTAATCACCTAAAAAACATCGAATCATAACACTGATTCTTCAATGGACTGGCTCTGAAAGAGCTGTCTATCCAAAAGTCACCCGAGGTTGCGAACAAGGTTATTGTGACCATATATATATATATATATATATATATATATATATATATATATATATA